CCCCCCCCCCCACCTCCGCCCTCGGCCCTCGGCTCGCTGGCAGGATCCTGACGCATCCTCGGGTCTAGAGACTTTGGTCGTGGCCTCCAACTTGTTGCGAGCGGTGCACACCGCTGTGCTGCTGAACCCGAATCCCGAGCCCTCCCAGGTGCCGAACCCATCCTGTCTGAGTGGATCAATACAGTATACATTTTCAACAACAAAAGCCTGCCATTCGTTCTGCAGTGGATGTTGTTTTGGTGATTTTGGACTGTCCCAGTCCCATATGACAATGACCTGACGTGGACACCCTCGAAGTCCTTTGGATCGGATCCTCAATCCGGGAGATGGGCCGACTTTCATCACTTCGCCATCGCTGACTCCTGCCTCCCATCCTCCCGGCACAAGCCGGGTGGGGTGCTTCCGCCGCTGCAGGTGCTGGTGCATCCCTCCTTACGCGAGCGGATACTGGATGATCGGGACGAGCCCTCCGAGTGACTTCGCATGAACCAGCCACGAAAACTTAACGGAAGGGCCGGTGATGAAACGGCGGGAACTGGGATGGGCTTGGGTCGGTCAAGTCGGTGGAGTTTTTGGAGGTGTTTGGCTTCCAAGGGCCTAAGGGATTGATTTTGCAATATTTTGTTTCTTTTGGTGGATCTTGGGCGTTTGCCTGGCGTTGCTACTCACGAATGGTCACCTGGTAAGAGCTACCGGCGATACTCCCAACATGTCGTCGACTGAATCAACAACGTCGAGCGGGAGAGTCGGTGTCTTGCTTTGGCAACCGCGCAAGAAGCGGCCAATGGGCCCAATGGTCTTCTTTTTGGAATCGGGAAACAGAGCTCTTGCTCAAAACTAGCTAAGTGTCATCACAATCGCTTGTTACCCTTGTAACACGGCTTGCATGGACTCTGCCATGCTTTGCAAATTAAGCTGGTGATAGTACCAAACTTCTGCCACCTCCCATGAACGCTGCCACCTCCCAGGTGGTGATGGTGGGGTTTATTGGTTGTTTTTCTCTAAACTCGGTCAAAAGAAAGGCTCTTAGGGAATTCAGACCTGCCCCTGTCACGAAACGTGCCGCGCCCGGTCCATCGTGTCTGCGGACCTCCCAGGCTGAACCACCTGCGCGAGTGGCTTATCGACCGGCACTATGATGCCAAGGCACCGAGAGTGGTGTAGACTGATTCATCAGTGCCCCTCAAGCTTGAAGAGGAAGAACCACTTCAATCCGGGGTTTTCTGAATCAAGTATATAGTCTACCAGCACCCGACTCCTAGTAGGTCTCCTCTTTAGAGGCTTGAGAAGGGCCCGACCACAGGTCTCTATTGACCTGTGAAGTCAGGGTGCTGGTAGACTACTTGAATTCGGGAGACGCCGCTCTCGCACGAGCTCTCGGGGCTTGGACTGGTCTGTTTCGAGTTCGCGGACCCCGGAGCCCTTTGGACTTGTGGAACCCCCAAGGACGGTGAAAGGCTCGAAGGCTCGGGCAGAAGGTTTTGTGCCCTCCAGGAGCAGCCCGTGGTCCTTCGATCCGCGGGGGTTTTGACACCCCTTTTCCGAGACAGACCAATCCGCGAGCGAAGACCCGGATCGGGTGCCGGAGATCGGATGGCGACGTCATGCCTGGAGCCGTGGTCTGGGTGGTGAACGTCAAGCTGATGGTTTTTGCAAGTCAAACAGATGAACATTGATCCCAACTTTTGGATGGTTTTGCCTTGAGCCCACCGAGGTGATTGGGATTGGACATGCCGCCCATCAGAGCGACCCCCCTCCGGTCTCGCATGGCGCTTTTCGTGCGTGGCGCTGCGAGAAGCACCGGCCAGGTGGACCTAAGTCTTTACGAGCAAGAGCTGATTCAGGCGAGGAGCTTCGAGGAGATGGGGCAGGTCAGGCTAGGAGCTGAAGTAGGCCTGTTGGGAGTTTCGTAAACCTGTCTGCCTACACTCCGTTCGGAAGAAGAAGGTACAGATAAGAAGTCAGCTTCTATACCCCAGCTTCGAAAAGAGTGCTGGAGGTTTGGTGGTTCAAGAGTTCCCTCCAGTCTCAGGGGATGATTCCTCAGGTTCCGGCTCCGACTCGAAAAAAGCCTGCACAAACTGCCCCCCAAAATTCTGAAGCAACCCTTGGAACTCCCCGCATGCCATGCTACAGCAAAAGCTTAAGGCTTAAGTCGTTTCTTTCTTCATGTTTTGTTGACCCCTACAGGGAAAAAATACCCATACTCAGGTAGTCGTGCCTTTGAATGATTCTGCTTGGTGTTGTATGCTCCTGTCTCTCGCTGGCTCGACCCTGCCTCGTCTCCTGTCTCTTCAGGCAGGGGCGGCCAGCAGCGACGTGGGGAATCCTCTGGACCTGCAGGACCCAGCGAAACTCCACGAGATCTACCTGAAGAGGCGCCCCATCCGCGCGTTTCTCGCCCCGGTGTTGTCGAGGACGATGCGGTCCGGGGCTTTCAAGGGACTTTGGGAACCCCCTTTCGGGACGTCGTAACTTCGGGACGTCCGGTATTTGTACCTCAGGCTTTTTTTCGCCGTATACGCCGTATACCGGTAATAAGTCAGAGATGATCACTCTTATTTTGTCCAAACAAACATCCACTGTGACTGGTAAGACCTTTACCTCCGGTGCCCTTATCACCCGATCTTCTGTCACCGAATCCTTCCTTGGGCCAAGAGAATACAGCGGTGCGATCCCGCCTGCCACCGCCAGGGGGAGACAACATTCATTGAACTTTAATTTTGATTTCATACTGGCTACCATGAGCCAGGCGCCAGTCAACATTACCCCGCCCATTTTGAGATTGCAGACCGTTCAGTTCAAGCAGATGAACGAGTTGTTTGCAAAGGTCCCTTTTGGCATGCAGACTAAGAAATTCAACCTGTGCTTGACATGGTTAGAGTCTCAAGGATGTTTCCCTTTTCGGGGGGCAGCGCATTGGAACAGGCGTTCCGACACCTTGGGTCGGTTGGGAATTCGTGGCTGGCTCCCTGCTTTCCATGATGTCCCTAGACTTGCAAATGGTGCCTTAGGAGATTGACAAATTTCTCGAACAGACCAATCCTCCTGCTCGTAATCTTACCAATTCCTGGAAGAGTGGTTGCACATCCCACTGTTGAGCATGCGCCACAGTTGCACATCACCTTTGAGGAGTTGGTAGTAGCTAACATTCGTCAGTTTTCACACCGATTCCTTCGCCGCTGGCCAATTCGCAATTGAGCTTCCAGTACACTCTAGCTGACTAGTTGTCTTTTTTCACAACATGTGTCCAGATAAGAAGGAAGGCGGGAAAACGTACTGACTGGTAATGGGATATAACGTCTTGACCCAATTTATGCCCTGGACACAGGCCATTTTTTTGGGGTTTGGCGTCATGGTGGGTGGTTCTTCTTCCTTGGAGTGTGGACCACTTGTAGCTCTGCTCAGTTTGGTTGGACGCTTGTTTTTTAGAAAAATCGCGCAGAACTTTAGGAGCGGTGACCTACCAGTGCCTCTGGAAAGCTGAAACGGGAAGTTGACTCGAGTTGGAGTTGGATTGTGTTCAGTGTTCAGTCGGATGTATATATACTAGTAGCGTCCCTGCTACTAATAGCGATGGCCTCCAACCTAGTAGCTTCAAGTTGGTATTGTTTTTGGCGCCCACGGATATCAAGGGCCAAGAACCCACATGGTGTGACTTGAAACATTCGTGCTCTTCGCCGCGTTCGACGAACGCGAACGGCCGAGCCATTCCGGCGGTCTTAGCTGGTTCAGTCGGCCGAGCCATGTGGCGGGCTTGCTGGCTAACGGCAGCTTGTTTTCAGCTAACGGTTTGTCTCGGACTGATGGACATCCCAAAAAGCAGATGATCAGATGATCAGTAGAAGAAGACTTGGGGATGACTGGGTGGCCGACCCTGCGAAGATGGGTCAACTCAATGACTGTCATTTCTTGGCGGCCAAGACATGTGAGCCACGGTCAAAACATGCGAAGACCACTTTAGTAAAGAGGGGTAGGTTTGTGCACAAAACCCTGCAAAACGATAAGGTCTACCTCAAAACCGATAACCCCAGCGCTGTATATGGTCATAAGTATGCGACGAACTCAAAACGCTGTAAAACGATAAGGTCCACCTCAAAACCGATGACGTCCATTTTTTAGCTGAAGAAGAATAAGGAGTTTTGACCGTCCCTCATGTGTATTTTTTGTTCTTTTTATTTTGTGTCATCACGTCAAGCACTGATTGATTATGCCTTATATACGTACGTACACACACACACACATATATATATATATATATAATATATGTATATAGAACCTGAGTGGCCCCTGTTTTTGGAGCCAAAGCACGGTCTTTTCCTATCAAAACAGAGGTCAAGTGGGTTCTAGGTACATTGAAACTATTTGTTCGGATGATATCACGTAAAGATGGTCAAGACTGAGATTGTTCAGCATCACAGGGGACAGAAGACACTCGGTCATCTATAGGTCGCCACTCACGAAAAGTCCTGTGTCCGTCGAAAAAGACGCCTCAGCCTTGCTTCCTCATGTAAGAGATCAGCTGCGTTCAAAACGGCACCGGGCGGACCTTCTCTTTCCTTGTCCCGTTCGGCCGGACCTCGGCCGGACTCGAAACGGGTCGGCCGAACCGCCCAGGCGGCGGCGGCCCTTCCCCCGTCCGAACAGGTGGTCTTCCAGCCCAGCGAAGGCGAGGAGCCCAAGCAGTCACCGGTCGTCCCCGGTCGCGAACGGGGTGCCGGTGCCGAACGGAGGATAGGAAGGAGTACAGGTGCCCCTGTCACCACCTCCACGAGGTTTGGATGGGACTAAACACCACGCCTGGAATGTGACTCCTGGTACACTCTCAGATCAAACAGCCTTTCGCTTCTCTCTTCGATCCAACCCAGGGATCACTAAACCACATCCACGTCGACCCCCTTCCCATTGGGTGTTTCCCGCAGGGGGGCCATCTCTTTTGCTTCAGAACTTCACTCGGATGACCTCCCTCACTTGCTTCATAACCCAAGCCGCAAGCCCATCCCACTTCTCCCCAAACCTGAGGTGTTTTGTTCCACAATGAGTCTACCCTTCTCCCATTCTCTCTCCTTATAACCCCAAAACCCTGGTCCGTTGACCCCTCTGTCCCCACCCCACCGCTCCACCGCTCCTCGGTCCGTTGCGCTTCCACCGGGTGAGTGCTGGGCCAGGACTGCGGAGTGGTCGAGAGTTCGAGACGTCCTTGAAGCTTTGCTCCGAAGAGGCCGAGGATTTGGGAGAAGGGTTGGGACCTCTGTGGGTGGGAGCCGAACTCGTCAGGTTGGTGTGAGACGTTTCTTTGAGACGTCACAGACCGGACGTCTCATGGTCCAAAGGGGCTAGAAGGGTACAAAACATTTTTGCAGCGGGGGAAGAACGATTCATCAGGGTTTGAAAGAAGAGCCCCACACCAGCAAGCTATTCTTTTATGTTTTATTGAAGAGCACGTTTCTCAGGTTTGCCCAGAGCCCAGGATGGATAGCCTTGAGTTGGGTTTCCCTCTTCAACTCACTCTAACAAGAGTGGGTAAAATTGTTATCACAACTTTCTGGGATCAAGGTCCCTATGCTCTGGGAATTCAATGATGATCATCATAGTCCCCATCCTCATCCGCGGATACTGGTACTAGTGAATAAGGACATGGCAAGTCCTCCCGTTGATTGGCAGAACTGTTTGCACACGCCACGGTGTTGGCCTTTTGGGATTCCGGCGTTTCAACAATCGACTTCATCCGAATCGACCGTCGATGATCTGTCCTTGGGGTTCTTGGAGTCCGAAGTCACCGCCGTCACCGCGAAGCCGGAGGTCCCCGGACGGTTGAAGTGCCAGACCGAATCTGTTTCTATAGGGATTGGTGGGAACCCACGTATATGAAACCGTTGGAAAGTGCGGTGAACCGCTACTTTTCCATGTATGGAATATATGCCACCCCATTGACCTCTTTCTAAGTACGCAATGTGAATAGCTAGATCTTCCAGCTGCGGCGGGACATAGGGGGTTATGGTCCGTAGTTCCCGCACCCTCCGAGTTCACACACATGAATAAGTGAAATGTGGATGGCATTGGACTACTTGGAGCTTGTTTCGGGTGGTGGTTTCTGTGCAGTCCCCATGCCCATCCGGGCTCCAAGTACCTCCTCAGAATCTAGTTGGACCATCTTTGAGGACTGAAAGGATCTTAGGTGAGGCGCCGCGGTCGGGGCCTGTTTCGGTGGTCCATGACATATCGCCGTGTGACGCGCGCGCGCGCGCGACGTCCTGTGTCGCGCGCAGGGCTGGGCGACAGAGAGGGTCTCCCTGCTGGTGCCCGAAGGGATCCGGCTGGTCAGGCCACCGGGATGCAGTGATTTCGGGGTGAAGGCACCGACTTCGCACACCCGGCTGTCGGGCTTTGATCAGACCGTGGTCCGAAGATGAGATGGAACAAGAACAGGCCGCATGCGGAAGTCGTTTCGAATATGTTGCAACAGAAGGGAGCTACAATGGGGCATGGTTTGCTTTCTCGGCGAAGCTGAAGAGATTGAACGCTTGGACATCCATCGCCATCATCCATTTTCTGTGTCTGGTGGTCTGGATCTATCACAAAGACCCTGATGAAGAAGGGAAAAGCACACCAAGACTCGATGGCGAAGCCTTTTCTCTCCTCAGTTTTGGGCAGGTTTCGCCATGGTTGACTAGTAGACTTCGCGATCTGACCCGCAGGTCTCGCGCCGTGGCGTCCGGCTCTGACGGGGACATTCACGAGACCGGTGATTCTCCGAATTCTGTCCACAGAATCCACAGCGGGAACTCGTTTGATTGAACGAATCGATCCAAATGGATTCGTTGGATTGGGGGGTTCGGAGACGGTTTTATCCGCAAGCTCCGGCCCCAGCGAGCGCCTTCAGCTCGGCGCTTCCACGCGTGGAAACTACGCGTGAGGCCATCCTCGAAACCTGGCTGGGCCTTCCGATGGGAGGGCTCGACGCTCCAGTTTGAGGACGCGAAGGGCTGGGTGGAACAGGGTGGAACTGCTAGCTGGGTGGCGCAGGATGGTGAGAAGTCTTTGACATCTTTGATGGCACGACAGTGGATCGGAGGGTGTCAAGCGAATTTTTCACTGGTGAATGGTGTTGAAGAAATGCAGTTTTGCCGAGGATGGTGAGCTTTTATAGCAAGTGTTCCGGAGCATGTAAAGTGGTTCTAGCAGAACTCCACCGACACCTTCGTGTTAGACGGACCCGCTCTCCGGTAGCTAAAGAGGTAAGAACACCCGAGATCCATTTGGTTCGGGTCCGGATTCCGAAAAAAAGATCAAATTCTGCACAGTTTTCCCACCCAGGCCGGACCCTGGGGTCTGGGGTCGAACCAATCCCTAGGTTTTCAGGCACCGGGAAAGTGTT